AAACAATAATGTGCAAAATTAAGTAACTGGAAAAGTGAAATATTCAGCTTCTTTTACACCAAGAGATCATAAAAATAATAAGCTTACTTACCCTTAAATGGATGGCCAAAATCATTGATCGAATGCCTTGGTTTCTTTTTTCTTTTTTCAAAGCTGTCCCACAAAAAAAGATATTAGCGAGTTTTAGATTTACGTTCACGCCAAACGTGAAACGTCAGTTGACCAGTGAAAAATTCTTTTAAATTACTGAAAAAGAATCGCAAAAAAGTCCAAGTAGTAGAAAAACAAAAGAGTATTTGCGCTAGGTGAGAAGGTTTGTAAAAGGTAAAGTAAAATACAGGAAAACGATGAAAACGTGGTCACGTTTGCCGTTTGCGGGGAGAAAAAAAAGTCAATCTAAAACTCTCTATTTATTAACTTTATACCTTGAGCACGCGCATTAAGATTTAAGCGACAAGTTAATTTTACTTGCTTTTCTAATATTGGTTACATAATGTACAGTAGATAATATTTTCATTGTGTAGTTCCATAAAATATCCATACCCAACCCCTTTAAGAACAATGGAAATTCTGGAGGTGAGGGGGGTCAGAGAAAGGAAAGAATAACGGAGTTTTTATGGCTGAAAAGTTTCTAGGGGTGGGGTTCATTTTACGAATTCCCTCTTTTAATGGCCGGTATGGAATATGGATATTTTCTGGAGCTACACATTGTGCATATTTTGAGGGCAACGGGCCAAGAAAACACTTGAAAACGGCGAAAATTTGATTTTTTGCAAAACTCTCATATATTTGAGATTTATAACAATAATTAGTAACAAATTCTTTATTCAATGAGTTTTTAAGATTTTATTCTGATTTTTCGTAAAGCTCATCCGCAATACTTGGAAATAGATATATGAAAACTTCAATGCAATCCATTCGATGGTAATGTTTCTACAGCGCGATGTTTCATATGCTTCAAATAATGGTTCGAATTTTCAAGCGGTGTCATAACTTTTTTTCTGCCCATCTTAAGACTTTCCATCCACAGGCCGCGGTAGTAATAGGTGATAAGATTCTGAAAATTTCAGAAAAATCGTACCTGAGGACGAGAAGAAAAAAAGCCAAAAACTAAAAATAGCACTGTTTGATTTTCGCTTCGGCCGTAATAGGCTAAACACTTAAAAAGTCTTAAAAT